AAAGACGAAAACCCTCTTGTGACAATCACGGCATCACTCAAGTGCACGAATATTTGTTCTATGGTTGATCTGGTAAGAGCATATCATCAGATCCCAGTCGCTACTGAAGATAACGAGAAGACTGCAATCGCAACTCCCTTCGGTCAGCTTGAGTTTATACGAATGCCATTTGGATGACGGAATGCTTCTCAAATTTTCCAGAGGCTTATCGATAGCATAGTACTAGACTTTGGTTTTCTTCGTGTCTATATTGATGATCCGCTAATCGCATCATCAAACGTAGATGAACATCATCAATATCTTAAACTGCTATTCCAACGCCTTTCAAATAATGTAATGATAGTGTGAACTTGGAAAACCGGAAATAAAATTCTTGGGTTACATTATTAGGCAAGAAGGTATTCTACCTTGCGAAGAAGTAGGTGCAATCATAGAGTACACTGTACCGTCCTCACTCTTAGAACTGAAGGCATTTCTCGGTTAGGTTAACTTTCACCGACGTTTAATCCCACACGCCGCAGAATGGTGACTACCATTAACCGACTTACTTCGCGGTAATCCATGCAGATTAGAAATGAACGATACCGCGCTTACTGCATTTTCACAGATCAAAAAACCTTTAGCTCAAGCCACTCTCCTCACTGATCCTGACCCGTCAGCCACACTTAGTATAGAGGTTGATGCGTCAGATTTTGCTGTAGAAGCCGCAAAGCAACGGAACATCTCCTGAAGTTGGAAACCCTTTGCATTTTTCTCACCACGCCTCACTCCCGTGGAGACGAGATATAGTGCTTTTGGTCAAGAATTTCCAGTAGCCTACTGTGTCATCGAACATTGAAGCACGAAGTAAAAGGTTGTGACGTCATCTTCTTCACCGACCATGATCCTCTTAAGTATGATCCGTATACCAAGTCTGACCATTGCTCACAACGAGAGTGCAGACACATGAACTACATATCTCAGTTCACGACAGACCTGCGTCATATTAAAGGCGAGTCGAATTATGTTGCTGAGGCTCTGTCACGTATCAAAATTAATGAGGTTACTTTACCGGTGTTTGGTCTACCTGCAATGGCCGCTGCCCAAACAAATGATCCCTCCTGTACAGAAGCACAACATTCTACATCCCTTCAGTGCAATTAGCTCATGTACTATCCCGTTTGATACATTTACTGGTCTACCCCGACCCATCATACCCTCTACGTCGTATCGTCTTCAACGTCCTTCATGGATTGTCACATCCAGGTATCGCAGCCACATTATGCCTTATCGTTGCACGATACGTCTGGCCGTTCATGAATAAAGATTTCCGTGTGTGGATAAGGCAATGCTGACTATCTCAACGATCGAATATGCACAGACACGTAGCCGTCCAAATTGGCATGTTCACTACTCCAGATGGCTGCTTCGATCACATTCATCGTGAAATTGAAGGACGATCGAATTGTCACAAATGCTCACACATTTACTGCAGAAGTTATCGTTGTTAAATCAGGTATGAGCCAGTTTCTGATAGCACATTTACACCATGTCAGTGACAGAAACAGTTTGATACATCCACATTTTCAATAAGAGAGTACAAATAGGGAAGGTGCATAGTAGGTTTCATGGGTGGTTTGCTTAGATCAGTAGTAAATTTGTTGGGAAAGGTCGATTGGGACGCGCTTGATACTAGCTGTGATCTAGACGTGTGTGTACATAGGGTGCACGTTCCTAAAGGGACCATGGATTTTTCACTGTGAATAGGGTTCTGAAAAAAGAGAAAAGAACCTGAGACCCGATGTTAGATCTATCAAACCCACTGGTGGGATCACGCCATCACCTTCGGACCACACGCTGGATGCATAACAGACCTCATTCTGATGTCCCAGTCCTCCTCTGCATCATCTACGGACGCGACTCCGATCCCAAGTCCAGGTCATCAGACCACACTGCACTTGGCTATGGATGAGAGTGCAGGCTCATGAGGCAAGTACGATACTACTGTCTCAGGTTCCGGTCGCCGTGGACGCTTACCGGTACGTTTTTGCGACTAATTCCCGAGGCAACAACCGATACTGTACAATACTTAATCCTCATACTGCATGCATGCTACCTCATTCCCTTTTTCAATGATTTTCTTATCCTGAGCTCATGTCTCTGACCTTCTCCCTGTTGGTACCATCGACTTTATTCAGTCTTGGCGTAGGGTAGCGGAATCACATACGCTCTTGTCAATGCACTCAGTCGATGATTTGGTCCCAAATATGTCTGGCATAAGTTTGGTCTCCAACTTGGTTGTTACGGGCATTTCTGTTTCTTGCACTCAATCTGGTTCCGTCCTACGTCTGCAGCGTTTTCTTGTCCGAACCCCTACGAATGCAAGCTTCAGATTCTGGATACAAACCACTCTGGTGTAGCACGCCAACTCGAGCATCAAACATGGCACTTAACTACTTGTCCAGTTCTCCGTGAAGGACCTTCGGTGACAACTCGAGCATCATTGATCGCTTCCTGTTTGTCAACCCTCCAGCCCTACAATCACAAGTAGAACGATCAGTCCACCGAAAGAACTCGCTAATCATCGGATGTGTAAACCCTTTATAGCGCGGGGCTATTGTAGTGACTATACTCTCATGAAGAGAACATGATGGGTAGTAGAAACATCCATTATCATAAATCATTGTACAAGTGATTGTTTTACTGTTCTCGTGTGTTCATTTGTGCCCGAAACACACATCTTCCTTCCCTGACCTTGAGCTTGCCCATGTACGCTTGGTAGTCTCTCTCGTATATGTTATTCAGATCTTGGTATTATTTCGATACCACGAGATCGCCAACGAATGAACGTTAACTCCGAACGCAGCTAGTCTTCTGATTTCTGCCTCTGACGAGATTCGACGCGAATATTATCGTAATATAGCTTCAAGTCGCTAGAAACCTATGAAATCACGAGTGAATACCTATCCAAAGTAATTTTCCAGGTCATTTTGTAATAGTATATCTCGGTGGTAAGTGAAACCAGTTCAGTGTTCCAAATGCAAGTCAGATACTCACTTTGCACAGAAAAGTAACAGCGATGTCATGGGTAATTACAGACTACTCAGTCCTTAGCATCTGTTAGCCAACAAAACTTTCAGTCCCACAGATATGGGAGCATTGAAGTTATCGCTTCACCATTATATTTGCTGGTAAAATACGCTCCTTTACATCCCTGTAGACTAATTTGGCTTTAACCGCCGCTGATGTTGCTCGGTGGATTCGTTTACGGTTTGTATTGCGATTTCTATATTTTTTTCGATAACACGAGGTCATCAATAAATAATCAATGGCCTCAAATCACAGCGGGTCTGTTGATTTTTGGCTGTAATGGAGTAACGTTTCTTTGTCGCGAGATAAGCAGTTCCAGTATGTTACAAGCCTGAGGAGGACTGTGGTCGGAATTAGCTACTTCGTGTCAGTCCACTCTCTCCATTCTCGTTTAACATCGTTATAGTCATGCTTCTAGATATACCATTATCTTCGTCTGACATTTCAGAAATTATCCTTCTACGAAGAGACTCACTTGTTGACTTACAATATGCCGATGACATAGTCCGACCTAGAGAAGAGGCTGACAAAATGCAGTCTTCTGACTACCCTAAGCAACAATATAAGCATGTTCGGAATGTGATTCGCTTCGTCAAAATGAAAAATGTTGCTTCTCGATTGGTTTTTATCGGCACCTGAACTAGTGATAGGGAGAGAAGCAGTTGAACATGTTGACCGCCTAACTTACCTGAGAAGTATCATCAGTGCTGGTGGCTGACAAAATCTCAGCACGGATAGAGAAGGCACGACTGGCTTTTGTCAACCTGCGTCACTTATGGCGTAGGCGAGATACCCATCTGCTAACCAAAGGACGAGTGTACTGCGCAGCAGTTCACCCCATCCTACTTTATGGCTGTGAAACATGGCTGGTCAGAGTAGAAGATATTCGTTGGTTGCTGGTTTTCGATCATAGGTGTCTTCGAAGCATTGCTCGTGTATCCTGGGACAACTGAGTAAGCAATGCTGTTGTTAGGAAACGGTTCCTAGTTAAGAGTGGCAGATCAGTAGATGAAGTATTGAAACTTCATCAGTTGGAGTGTTTGGACATGTGTTGCGTATGCCTAATCACCGACTGCCTCGTTGGGCTATATTTCGCGATGTTGGAATAGGTTGGACGAAAGCTAGGGGCGGCCAAGCCAAAACATTTCACAAATCCATGAAGTCACTGACAACTGGACTGTGTCATATCGGTAGGTGTCGACTATCTGGTTGAGGGCCGCGAGATGATAGTAATCGATGGTTAGAGACCCTGAATGACATGGCTCATAACCATTTGCAATGGCGCAGGTGCAATCATTCTTTGTGTTTTCTCAAATCCTAAGCTTCTTAATTCCTCATCACGTTTATCTTTTTATGTTTATTTTACTAGATTCTACTTCTTGAATAATAACGACGAACCCTAATCGCCCGATAACTTCTAATAATTCTACTACTTCTACTACTATGGGATTTGAATTGACACTTCAATCTGCATGCGAACGTGGTATGGCAACACGAACTGATGTACGTACGTACGAAGTTCTATGTTGTCACTGACTGACTGACATGTTTATCAATTCTTTTGTTACAGCTTTCCACTGAGTGTGCTGTGGTCACTTCGGCTGGAGATCATTAAGAAAAAGTATGCACGAACGTTGCAGCTGTTTAAATTTATAAATTCAACTGATCATCAACGTAGATATCTAAAATTTATATTTGCTACTAATACATGGCATTTGACTTAATATACAGTTTATTAATCTCGATAACTTCAAGTTTAATGAATGAAATGTCAGATTTTTAGTGGACTATATACTTGTCGAAAATGATATACTCATACGACAGACTAATCCACTATAAAGTAAGAGTTTTCAAAACCGAATCAGAGTGATGATACAAATCTATGCAACTACGAATTGACTTCATGAGATTGCGAATAACAACAATATTCATAATAAATAAATTCATCTTATAAATTTTAAGGACTGTACATAATCGAGAAGGAAATAGTGATAATAATAATAATAATAGTAAACATTTTACTCTGAATTTCCTCTCGAAAATTTAAATCTTTTTTATAATGAAAAATTATCAAAATAATCAAGGCTTAAATAACTAGTAAGAAGTGCACACAATCATATACACACTAATAGATATGTGTGCTAGAAAAACAGAACAAAAAAACTGTCTTGAAAAATAACATTACACACACACACATGCATACACACAGTAAATGTATGTATATAATTAAAAACAACAATGAGTGTAGATCTTGTGCACCTTAATTGGTTTACTGTTACAAAGTTGTGCATGAAGTAAGGACTGTAGAACAACACAGGAATAATAATAATAAATGTATGAAGAAATTGCTGCTGTGATAACAGTTACGGCTGATAGGTGAGCTAATCAACAGGGATAGATATGTAAATAAATAGTAGAGAAATGATATTCAGGAGATAAAATAAATACATACAAGTTTACATACAAACACATGGATATAGTTAGTAGTATATGCACATTGGATTCATTCAAAAGTAGAAGAATAACTCAACAAAAAGTCATCTGAAAGAAAATAACTGCTTTTTTGCTAATGACGATGTTTATGACGATGATTGTAATGAGGAACAATAACAGGTGGCTTCTTGCGAGAAACAATAGAAGGTGGAGACCTCAATGGACGCGGTGAAGGTCTACGCGATGACCGGCGTGATGATAATGATGATGAAGAGGTTGGACGACGTAAAGGTCGGATAGATGGTGTAGGCAAAAGAGCGCAAGGATTCGAACGTTGTATGTTGACAGTGACTGGTAACTGATTAGCAGACAGAAGAGGAGAACGAGTATCAGAAAATTCTTTTTTACTTACTGGATTAGGTAATAAGTGACGAACTGAATGTACCGGTTGATAATTGGTCTGTTCGATTGTATGTATTTTTTTAATGGAAGACCGGAAAGGCGCTTCTGCATGAAATCTAGGTACACTTCTACTGCTACTACTATGACTACAGTTGTAATCTTCATTCACAGATGGCGATGACACATTGTATACATCTTGTGGTGTAGAACATCCAGGATTAACAGGTTGTGGAATTAATTTACGATAATCGATATCTTCAGTAGAAGGTGGGTACCACTGTTGAGTAGCAGGATATAATTGGTCGGCATTGTTGATAGCAGTATTTGTGATGAAAGGACGCAAATCAATATCACCGACTGAATTCATTGAAAACGCTTCAACAGTCTTATCCTCCATTTTCATATTTTCGATAAACAATGCTAATGGAACAAGTGATAAAATACAGGGATTTCAAAACATTTTAAGGAATAAATGTAACTGTTCTATAAAATTATTGGTTAGAATTTCATGCTGAATATACGTAATTGTGATAATGTTCGGTGTAAACATAAATACATTTCACATAATTATTTCGAAATTCTTGTATGATTTTCAATAATGTAGTGGGAGATCGACAGTCATCGAATGACTAGCTGAAATACGACTGACCAATAACAAGCCCAACAATAGCGTTAAAGGATCAATAACTAAAAGGATTTATTTAGACCGCGAATCGACCAATGTTAGACCATTATTTGGAATCTGAGAGCACTGAACAGCCATCTTGTCTTTGTATGGGATTAGTCAGCGGTGCATCCACCTGTGTCGAGTGTGAGGTAGTTGTCCACCGAAGACAACGGATGACGGTTACGCAATATCGAGAATTGACACAAGTAAGAGATTAACATCGTTCGGTGCTGGTTCAGTGGTCTAGGAGTTGAGCGTTCGTGCGCTTAGCCGAAAGTCCTAGGTTCTACTCCCGCTTGTGGATGCGTACAGCTAATGAGTCACATAAAAGACGAAACGGCTGTTCAGTGTTCCCAGGTTTCAAACAATGGTCCAACATTGGTCGACTCATGATTTCAGTGGAACTAAACAATCTCCGAAACCGAATATTGGTAAAGTGGTTTACTGTAACTTGAAGATCCGATCAAATCTTAAATATAAGTGACAGGATATATAATAGTCGTCATTAGGCAACCTGATAAAATAACAATATACAGGGTTTAGTGATTGATTCAGAAACCAGTTGTTCACATATTTCAATTTTAATTAATTTAAGGAGCTTACTTTATAAAGATTCGTGTGCTTGGCCTCGTGGTTAAGACTCGAACTTCTTAACTACTGATTAATAAACTGATTTGATATACTGAGTGACATTCATTGACTGTTCTGAATGGTTAGTCGATTCAATTTCAGGAATATAAAATGTGCACTTACTTACCTGCAAACAACAGATATTAAATGAGTCATAGTTTGAAGATTTCAGCAGTAACATACTTAGTTGAAACAAGATTTAATTGGAGACTGCCGCTCATTCTGGGGAACTTTTTTAGATTCAGACCATGCTCTACTGAGAGCGCATATTTGTTTGAGGCTTACTGGACGAATAAAAGATATTGCAAGGAAACCATGCAGTGTTCTACTTGATGATAAAAAGCTAAGAATATATTTTAGGCAAAACCAGAAAAACGGTTGGGCCGCAATGTTAGTGACTTACATCCTGAGGCAGCTTGGAATGATATCCGAAAAGCTGTGGAAACAGCAGTGATATTTTCTAGTAAGGTTAACCATAAGGTTAGGGAGAAGCGGCGGATTTCAGTTGCCTCAACCGGACTGATAGATGCTCGTAAACTCATCCCGTCTGGCTCCACGTACAATGAACAGTGGAGTAAGCTTAGGCGGAGGATGATAAGAAGTCTACACAATGATCGCCAACAGTGGTGAGCAGCGAAAGCAAGAGAGATAGACTGAGTCATATTGGTAGGGGTACGAAGTTTTAGGTTAATGTTGATTGACTGTCGTCATGGATTTGTGAAATGTTTTGGCTTGACCGCTCCTAGCTTTCCTCCGACTTATTCCCACGTCACAAAACATAGCTCGACCAGACAGTCGGTGGTTAGGCATACGCAACACATGTCCAAACACTCCAACTGATGAAGTTTCAATACTTCATTTATTGACGTGCCACTCTTACCTAGGAACCGTTTCCCAACAACAGCATTGCTTACTCGGTTGTCCCAGGATACACGAGCAATGCTTCGAAGACACCTATGATCGAAAACCAGCAACCAACGAATATCTTCTACTCTGACCAGCCATGTTTCGCAGCCATGAAGTAGGACGAAGCGAACTGCTGCGCAGTACACTCGTCCTTTGGTCAGCAAACGGATATCTCGCCTACGCCATAAGTGACGCAGGTTGGCGAAAGTCACCGAGCCTTCTCTGTTCGTGCTGAGATTTTGTCAGCCATCAGGCGTTCAGCACTGATGATACTCTTCAGGTAAGTGAAGCGGTCAACATCCTCAACTGCTTCACTCTCTATCACTAGTTCAGGTGGCGATACAAACCAATCGAGAAGCAACATTTTGCATTTCGACGAAGAGAATCACATTCCGAGCATGCTTCTTATATTGTTGCTTAGGGTAGTCAGAAGACTGCAGTTTGTCAGCCTCTTCTCTAAGTAGAAATATGTCATCGGCATATTGTAAGTCAACAAGTGAGTTTCCTGGTAGAAGGATAATTTCTGAAATGTCAGACAAAGATAATGGTATATCTAGAAGCATGACTATAACAAAATTAAAAAGGATGCAGAGAGTGGACAGCCATGTCGTATACGACCTGAAGTTATGAATTCCGAAGACGTTTCGTCATAAGCTCTAACTCGACTTGTAGTGTTCGAGTAGAGAGCTTGTAGAAAGTTAATGTACTTCTTTGGTACACCTTTTAATGGCAGACAATGTTGCAGAACCTCACGATCAACAGAGTCAAATGCCGCCTTAAGATCCAGGAAGGCAACTATAGTGGGACTCCTGAATGTGTTTCTGTGTTCCAGGACCCGTCGAAACGAGAATATGTGGTCTGTACAGCCACGTACAGGTCTGAAACGAGCCGTAAAAATCTAAGGCTTTAGCCAATCAAGACCCGCTGATCTCCGTCGCTCTAGATTTCCCATCGCTTTGTCGATTTCATAGAGTCGGAGGACTTACATTGACTTGTTATTCAGGACGACTGGAGATTGTAGGCAACAGAAGTGTGGCTGAATGTCAATTGAACTGATTTCTAAAGTACTCTGCCCATCAATCTAATCTCCTGCATTGAAAATGAGTAATGTGCCCATCTTTTTTCGAGATAGTTGGGTCGGCTTTGGTGGTCACCAGGTCAGCTGTTTTACCCTATGCTTAAAGTTAGGGTTTGCTAGAAATAGGCGGTTAACTGAGCATATTTGCAGCAGAAAGTCGCCAATATCTGTTCTATTAGCCGCGACACCACCAAAGTGTATTTCCTTTTCACTTAGTCTACCTACTTGAGCATCAAAGTCGCCAACCATTATTATTATATCAGAGCGCTTAACCATTTAAAGGTTTCTGTAAAACTTATCTTTCATGCCGTCTGAACTGCAGTCAGTGGGAGCGTAGGCAGATACGATGAACAGGCGACGGCGAGTTTAACTATCTTTCCGTGTACGTACCGTATCGTTTAGTCGGACAGTGCATAAGCGACTGTCTACTGGGATCCAGTCTAAGAGAGCTAGTTCTGCCCTAGAACTTAATGCTATAACTACGCCAGTGAGGTCATGGGAAGCAGCATCAGAGCTACCTGAAATACGAAGCGTAAACAGTGTTGTTTCTCTATTTGCACTAGGTCAAATCAAATCGATGATTTTACTCGGATCTTGTATGAACGTTTTGAAGACGCAACCTACATCGATCGTTTGGGATTGCAGAGTTCTAGCTAATGAAACCTGTCGCCCTATTTGGCATAGGGTTCGAACATTAAAATTTACTACGGGGTTTCAGGAGACCAGGAATTATGTTTCGTGAGCTCAAACCGTTTGCTTCAGTGACAAACGATCGAAGGAAGAGTTGCTCAAAGAGATGAGAGAGTTATTAGGAGATGTAGGGAGGATTTGATTGTGACTGATTCGGTCTCGTGTGCTTTTATGGGTATGAGTGTAGATGTTACTTACCGGCTTCCTACATCGCGGGAGGGTTCTGGTTGTCAGAAAAGGCATCGGCCTCATGATTTCCTAAGGAAATCGGCTTTCATCGTAAGACGTCATAACTCCTCTAAATGAAGACCTTCTAAGTCCCAGAGCAGAGTTTATATGGTTTGAATCAATTTTCCTTCTTAGCGTATTTTAGCAAGTTAGTTATTTTGAGGGATGGGGTCGCCAACCTCAACCCTTCTCTTTTAAACGGGCTTGGGACTGGTAGTAGCTTCGAAGGGTCTACAGGCGAAGTAATCCATGAAGTCACTGACAACTGGACTGTGTCATATCGGTAGGTGTCGACTATCTGGTTGGGGGCCAAAAGATGATAGTAATCGATGGTTAAAGAACCTGAATGACATGACTTATAACCATTTGCAATGGTGCAGGTGCAATCATTCTTTGTGTTTTCTAAAATCCTAAACTTCTTAATTCCTCATCACGTTTATCTTTTATTTTTATTTTACTAGATTCTACTTCTTGAATAATATCGTCGAACCCTAATCTCTCCGATAACTGCTAATAATTCTACTACTTCTACTATTATGGGATTCGAATTGAAACTTCGATCTGCATACAAACGTGGTATGGCAACATGAACTGATGTACGTACGTACGTACGAAGTTCTATGTTGTTGTTGACTAACTTACTGACAGTGAATTGATTCGAGTGACTTGCTAGCATTATATGGTAGAGTTATAAAGTGAGTAATGCAGAAGTTGAACAATTGAAGTTGTAAACCAGTTGATGCGATCGTGAATATTTGTTTATTCAAATGATTGAGACAGATGTTATGTGTATCCAGTCACTAACTACACTGAAGTGATATTCTGTCTATCGTAAGAGTAGGTTAGAAGAATGGTAGACGAGAACGGCAAAATAATTAGTAATAATTCCTGGATTTCGTTTACGATAAGCTGATTCTTGTGAACTTAAACGGACCTACATCTAAAAAGAATATAAATCTAACAGCAAAATAAGTGACAAGCAACTAAATCGTTCAATGTCCAGATGAAAATAAAGCGAGACCTTTCCAAAATTTGAAATCTATCAACATCTAGTGAAAAATACTTGTAAAGAAACATACTGATACCTTTGTCGTCAAACTGAACAGGAGCTGGAACATAAGCGTCTTCCGACATTGAATTGAACAAAGGTGAGCATGGTTTGTCATCTGATGGCAAGTAAACAACACTTTCTTCTGTGTTATTAGGTGTCTCTTGAACAGGATTCAATATTGACGATGATGACGATGGTAAGGAAGGTGGAATACTTTCGACATTTGGTTTGACATTGATTGGTCTTGTCAATATCATTAATAATTGGTTTTCTCCAATCACATCATATCCAGTCAATTGGAATTTCGACAACAAATTCACCGGTAAAAGGATATCTTTTAAATGAGTATTTCCTATCAGTGGATAAAGTAAGCAGTCATAGATACCCTGAAAACGTGGTTCTAGGCTACCACATGCACTGATCTCTTTTAAATGATTAAATATATCTTTATAGATATGTGACATTTGTCTAGTTCTTGGTGTGACACGAAGCGCAAATAATTCCTATATGAGCAAAACAAAAGAGTTACAATGAAGTTGAATAATGATAGCAATGCAGTGGATGAATAACTGAAAGGAGAAAAAACAGAGGAAATTCACAATGGTTTATCGAACTAGCAATCAGTGAGTACATAACTATCGAGTTGGGTGGTGCAGTGATGTACGTGTTGAAATTTAATAAGTTCTCGATATTGAATAATCATGTTTTGATTCCGATAGTAACTTCATCTTACATGACATTATTGGACACCACTGGTTACAGCTTCTTACTAAATCTCCGGCAATTACATCTGAAAATAAGTAACCATTACCGAGTAGTTCCATATCAGGAGGAAACAGTTGCACATTGCTTCCTGGTTTACAATAGTTGTCTACCTGGCGTAAGTCTGTGACGTATACCATGAAAAAATAACCGACAGTCTCCACAAACTCCTTACAGTGAAGAAGAAAATGTGTGACTCAGTCATGGTTGGACTTGAGTTGGCGAGATTCAGCTGACCACTTTCACTAGTCTAGTTTTTGAATACCATTACCAAATTAAATATTTATTGAGAATTGAAAACTTAAAATCGTTCAGTTTCAATCATGAAAGCTGGAAAAGTAACTTGTTTATATCTTAATTTACAAGTACAGAAGTAAATTACACAAAAGAAACTAATTTTGACAGACAAACAGATCAAACTGCCCCAATTCACAAGATAATAGAATTCGTTATTAACAATTTGTTTTAGGCATTAAATTTTAAGCAATTTTAATGTTACGGCTTTTCTAATAAAATCTATCCAGATAAGTGTTCTAGTGTCTTTTGCAAAGGTTGAAAACACTTTCACTTTACTAGACAGTTTGTATTTCAGTAAATTTATTTTTCTTAGTTTGCAAGAACCAACAGAATGCATAGTTTACATGTAGATGAAATCTGATTGATTGGGTAGTTCACACACTCCAGACAAATTTTAGTTAAAGAATCATTGGAAACTTGAGAGTAGTGGATACTTGTTTTGTTCACCTATTAATACTAATAACCTCTACCAGAGATAGATCGACTTCATGACTTTCAATTCTCATTATTTTGGATCAACAGTCGGATAAATTTGCAATCCACTCATAGATAGAAAGAAGTAGAACCAGAAATGATAGTCAAATAATGAGAAAAAATATATAATTGAAAAACAGATTATCAGATAAACAAATCATTTAACTTACTCTAGGATGTGTTGAATCTAACAATGTCTGTCCTAAATAAACTGGTAAACTGGTTAAATTTACTCCACGACTAACAACAAGCGATGTTTGTTTACTTAATAATAAAGATTCCCATTTAACTACTTGATTTCCAGGATAATTTAATGTTTTCGGTTGAATATATACAAAAGGATAAACATTAATCTCCAGACTGAACATATGTTCACGACCAGAATATTGTGTTGATAACGACAACATTCCAGTCCATAATAGGAAATGTTTT